GAACCCATTAGTGCGACCTGTAAAGGCATATCCTCCTGCACTGGTGAGCGCCTCCTGCTGGTCTAACACAAGAACTGCGCCAACGTTTTTTATACATTTACACCTCTCTACCTTCCTTTCACCTATTAGGCAACAGCAGTCAATGCCCCCCTCCTGAAAACGCTGAAGACAACATGGTGTGTGTTGACAACGGTCGCTGTCTCAATGGAGAGTGCAACCCTTTCTGTGAGGCCATGCAGAACCTTCAGTCCTGCGCCTGCAACGGTGAGAGCTGCTGTCACAAGTGGATCGATGTCAAATGGTTGGCCAATGGAATTTCAACAGCAGAGTCCTAGTGATCATGGAGGTCCCGGAGTTTGACATGAAACATTAAGACATTTGAAAGAAAGAAATTGAAATCATACCTTGGGGAAATATTTGTTCAGTTCTGAAATACATAAAAACATTAGAAGGGCCTCTGGTAGATGTGAAAATCCTACAAGCCAAACAGTTAAACAACCTTTTGTTTAGTTTACATCCAGATATAGGATAGGATTTTTAAAGATTGTTTACAGCTCTGAATGACTGGATGTAATGTGTGCCCTGCCACTGTTAATGCAGGATAAAGTTATTATAACTATTTAAACGGTTTCTGTTTGCAGAGACGGAGGACTCCTGTAAAGTGTGCTGCAGAGGGAGCGATGGCGCCTGCGCCCCCTTCATCCAGTCCAATACTAGTCTCCTTTTCCTGCGCAAAGGGAAACCCTGCACCGTGGGCTTCTGTGACGGGAGCGTGAGTCACCAAACCTCTTATATCTGTCCATCAGCTGATTCTACCATGTTTAGTTATTTGTGCTTAGTTCCTATGACTGTCCAGCTCTGAAAAGCCTTGTATGAATGATATATGTTTTAGCTTTATTTGGCTGTTTGAAGATCATCAACTTCTTCCTGTTTTGAATACAGGGAAAGTGCATGAAGCAGGTGCAGGACGTGATCGAGAGGTTGTGGGATTTTATCGACAAGCTGGACATCAACACATTTGGTAAGTTGGTTACAACAGACCACTAATAATGAGAATGTAGGGTTTTTACAAAATGTAGTTTATTTTTTATTTTTTTAGGTTTCGGAAGAAGCCTTAAGTGTCTGCCGTCAGAATGTATTAAAATAATGAAAAACACCTCTTTTTAATAAATACAACTTGTCAGAGTGTACCCCTTTAAGTGCATGTCAAACAAGCTAAAATATGTTATTTTGTTAAAAAGTAAGCAGAATACTTTGTGAGATAAAATTGACTACAGCTTTGTTTCATAGATTTGGACTTTTGGACAAAATAAATGCTGTTTTTATAATTATTTAGTCAACATGATGAATGATGCTGCAAACAATGAAGCTGCACACCATTCTGTACAGCCCTAATAAAGCAGACATAAGGATTTGAAAAGTCATTATCTTCTTTTGGATGACTATTAGCTGAGTCTTACCTTTTTTTTTGTTCCTTCTATCCCCCTAAACCCCATCAGGAAAGTTCCTGGCTGATAACATCGTGGGTTCCGTCGTGGTGTTTTCACTTGTCTTCTGGATTCCTCTCAGTATCCTCGTTCACTGTGTGGTAAGAATCTGCTGCTCATGGATTTTTATTAATTTCCAGCAGTCTTTAATTTTTCAATCATCATTATACTATTATACCATTTTTTACTTTGTCAAATGTTGACAGTCTTTTGTGGTCTTTTTCCGCAGGACAAACGTCTTGACCAGCAGTATGAGGATAACACGAAGTCCCTTTACTACCCTCCAAGCGTAAGTTTCTCCTCTCTTAAATGCCCAAATAGGATCCTGTGCACTAGCCTTGCTGCCATACTAACTTAACTAATACAATGCTTTGTAAACATACTGACATCATTAATAAGGGAGGGGGAGGGGGAGGGGAGTCTGGAGGCTGATTGTTCAGGTTGAGTTACTCATTTTCTTCTGAATCTCTGTCGCCATTAAAAATCAGAAACATCTTTTTTCTGTATTGGACTCAAAGCACAATGAAATTATACTAAGCATCTCTCAGTGTAGGTAAACAAATAAATAAAAGTAAATTGGCGCTAAAGCATGTTCAACCATTATTTGAGATTAATTATACAATTTAACCGTTATTACAGACTTCATCAAAAGCTAAACACATTAAGATTTCAACAACAAAAACAGCAATAAAATATGTATTGTAATAAATAAAAGTACAAAATAAATAAAATAATAAGGGGGGTTACTTCTTGAATTTGACTAAACATATCAGTTTTTTTAACAGTGTAAAAAAAACATGAAGAATATTGTATTATGTGCTACACAACTGGCCTTTGCAACCCTTCTTAAAAAATAATCTTCTTTGATTAATTTTCTTTTTAAAGGCCCTGCAAAACAAATGTTTACAATCAGTGTTTTACTCTGAAGCTAGTACATGATGTGATTAAGTTAAAAAAGCTCAGATACAAAGATACTAATTAACATTTAGCCTTACAAAATTGTTCGTAACACCAAGATAAGATCCTGAGATAACTGATGTTTAGTCTGACAGTGTTGAAAACACGTGGTGAGAGCAGACCACACATCCATCAGTCAGCCTCACTGTCAGGTTCCAGCTCCGTTGACCTGTGCATCACTCTTTGCCTTGGCCCTTTTCATTCTCATTGGAACTGCAGCAGATGGTGGAAGTTTGTAGTAGGGCTCCCGCCATAGGTGAGTGCGTCTGGCTTGGTGTTGCGTTGCCATGGAGTCCATGATGATGCATGGTCAGCGGCCCACGTTTGGGATACTCCTGCAGTCACTTACTCCTTGATGTAATCACTGATCTGTTTGCACGTTTCCTTCGTCTTTGAGAGGCTCAAACTGAAGCTAAGCTAATGTGACTGGATAGTTTTAATGTTGTCCACACAGCAGAGTCTTATCTGATCAGAAATTACCTCAAGAAAGCAAGATTGCATTTTAGGAGTATTCAAACATCGAGAGGACTGAACAGGTTGCACCTTGGTTGTGTTTTGTGAAATCGGATGCCGTGTGCGTTTTTAAGTTTGTATCTGCTGCTGTTCAAAGCTCCAAGAGAGGGTGTTTGTTATTCGTTATTTTATTTTACTGGCTGTGTACAATGTGTTGTGTTTAGTCTGATTGGGAACTTGTGGAGTCTGAGGGTACATTCCTCTATAGACCTTTTTCATGGCAGACATTTTGAAAGGAAAAGCAAAGCAGCAACTAATGACATTAATGATGGCAAAATTCCACTTAGGTGTGACAGGAAGTCCTTAAAGTGAGCCAGCATGCACAGTGTGGATGGACTGCAGCCATTATTAATATTAGTTAAACCTTTGATTGACAACACAAAATGTCCACTGTGAGAAATGTTTCTTTTTACTCATTCCCACTTTGAAAGGGGGTGTTGTGGGTGGAGATGGCTGATGGCTATTACTAAATTATTTGTAAGTATAATTTAGCAGCTTTAGAGTTCTGATTATTAACTATAATGTGATGATGAAGATATAAGTAGAATGGAGTAAAAAGGGAATGGATCCCTCCTCAGTCGGAGACGGTCAGATTTGTTGTGTTTTGGTCTCACATGTTGTTCTCGCTCTGCAGAGTCAAGAAATGCTGAACAATCTCGAGTCGGCGTCCGTGCGCATCGTCAAACCTCCCTTCTTCTCCGCCGGCCGGACCGCGCCCTCCTCCCTGCCCCCCCCCGCCTCAGCAGCAGAGCCCGGCCGGGGCCTCTCCCGGGGACAGCACCAGTACCCAGGCCCCCGACCTGAACTCCGGCTCCATCCCGGACAGCGCCGGGGGGCCGCGGATGGCCACCATCCAGGAGGACACCAGCAGCGGCTCTCACCTGGGAGAGGAGGGCCTGTCGGACGATTTCACAACCGCAGGAGCCTCCTCGTCGGCTACGAAATCCTCCTACGAGGATCTGACCGATCAGAACCCGCAAAGCCGGGACCGGAGGCGCCTCAAGAGGCAGGACTGCATTGACACAAAAGAGACAGAGTGCTGAGAGCACTTTTAGTTTAAAAGCATCCACATGTACATGGTGTGCGTTTTAGGGTTGGCCAGATGAAACCTGCTCTGTGGAAATAAATCCACCCCAGTTCGGCTTCCCAAACACATTCAATTATCTTTTTTATGAATATGCAATTAAAAAAAGGTGAGCTATTTTCGTGGATCAGTTAGTTTAAAAATCATCACGTTAACAGCCCCCTTAATGTATGTGCATTTAGTACTGTCTTCAAAGCAATGCAACCTTTGCTCCACTCGCAGATCAACAGGTGAATGATGTGAAATAATATTGATGTAGCTGTGGTTATTTTACCGTAAATTAAACATTTCAGTGTGCTCAGCGGCACACCTTGACTTTAAAATGCTTTTTTTTTAACTGCATCAAAACTGCACTTGAAGTATTTTTCACATCACTGGAAAATGAAATATGTTTTTACATGTTCTTACTGTGCTGTTTCCTTGGTCTCTTTTTTTAAAGATATGTTATTATAGTTTAACCCTTTGAACCTATTAGTTTGTATTTGTCTAGCTCTTGACAGTCATATTGTCTTTATGGAACAACATGGTGCCTTTTCTGAATTTGTGCCTCATCATTCTGAGCCAACTTATGTCTTTGCAAAGAGCTCCAGTATACGAGGCATGAATATAGACAATCATGAATTCAGTGATTTAAGAAACTTCCTGAGATGATCAATTGATATTTATGTGCTTGGTTGTTTTCTTATTGTGCCAACACGAGTAATGCATCTGTTATTTTATGCTGTCTCAACACTGTTGCCTGCTGTGTGACATGTTGTAAAAATACATATTGAATGCTAGTTCAAGGGAAAAACTAAAGTGTGGCTAACATTTACTCTCCTGGATTAATTTGAGCTGTTACACAACAAGCAGATGTCATGTCATATATTCTGATGTGTATATTCTTAATGTTTCTATACTATAAAAAGTAAACCCTTGAGTTCCTTTTTAAGTTTGTGCTTGTATTGTCTACACACATCTCAAAATAAAAATATCTTTATTGTGCATTTCAAACATTCGTCACATTTTAATGGAAAAAAACTGATCAAAGCTGCTTTGTTGTTTAAAAGCAGGAATGCAGTGTGTGAGGCTCTCCGGTTACTCTGGAATTAACATTAGTCCTCCACAGATTATCCATCCCTGTATGATATTTCAGAACCTCTCCCTCACTGGTCACAGAGGAGGCTGCTCTCGGGGCTCTTGGTGTCCACGTCCCCCCAGTACGACAGGATGAAGGGCAGGTGGGCCACGCGACTCTCCAGCAGCTCCCACAGGTGCTGAGACACAAACTGGTTCCCCTCCTGGGACAGATGCAGCCCGTCAGACAGAAAGGCTGTGTAGTCCTGTGGAGCAGAGGACAAAACGGGGAGGCTATAAAAGTAAATTCATTCAGAGGAAGATAATGGGGCATGGTGAAAATACTAGCTCTGGTCAAGTAAAGGTCAATGCTTTCAGTCAATCTCATATTGAGACATTTGAATCCTAAGGATGCAGGATTGACGATACATACTACATTTATATAGAATCATTAATATCAAACAAAATACTGACATCTTTGACTGCCTATTCAATTTCTTAGCTTAAAATTCTATACGAATATTGTACAAATTCTGCCGGCCTTTTTTTTTTTTTAGAGCTGTAAGAGCCATTTAGGCACATTATTTTATGGTAATTAATTATGGTTTGGTGAGCCAATTGAATATTCTTTTAATTGAACTCAAATGAGCTGAATAACTATGAATTATAATTATACTGTTTTTGTAACGTTTTATTTTGCTTATGGACTGCTCTAGCTTTATGTTTTGTTATTATTTATAGAAAGCAGAATGTAGTAGCGTGCTCAGGTATAAATGACGCTGCCAGCGTGACACAGCAGGAAGTCTAGAGACGAAGTTGGAAAACATTTTTGACCGCACACATCCGTACGACTGTTGGATTTGTTTGTTTATTTGTTTAAATACCGTGCAAAGGTTGCAAGTCGGCAGTGGGCCGCCAGCTGATCCATTGAACCTCCTAATAAAGCACTTGAATGGAACGAGCAAGGTATTTGGATTTCTTGAACATACGCGAGTCAATACTCGAATTCGCCTCCTAGACTAAGTGGCCTTTGAACATTCCTTTTTGCATAATTGGCCACTACAATAGCTTTTATGTCATGTGACCCACTTACTCTAAATCGATGCAGCATTGTATTTGATTGTATCTCCTTTGTTGGATTTTAGTCCACTTTCTATTTCATGACTATTTTTAAGAAGGTCTTAAGGTGTTTGCTGCACAAGACTACCATTGATACTAAGAACAATGGGGTGCTCCAAAAACAGGCCAGAAACAAAAGAGGAAAGACCTCTGGCCAACGTTTGTGTTAGTTCAGGCAATGGAAAACTGCTTAATTTACATATAAGTGATTATATAAAATAGAAGAAGCACTACAATCCATCAATAACAAGTACGCACCTGTCCATCTTTCTGCATGAGTGTCCAGAGGTCCAGCACGTCTGCACCACACTGACTGGCAGCTTGGACACACGCCTGGGCATACTGACCCGCTACAGAGTTATGGCGATTGAGCGTACATCCTGAAAAAGAGATGAGCAAGCACTCTTATTCTTTGTAGGCCTGAAGCGTATACATGGCTTGTGTAAGGACAGAAGAACAAGAGAGAGGAAACATTGTGAATGAACGTTACCTTTCACAATGCACTCCTTCTCCCACGCGGACTCATTAATGGGAGGAGGGGTGATGAAGATGACTCTGTCTGCTGACACTCCCACTGAAGCCAGAAGCCTGGTGATCTCCTTCAGGTTCTCTGAATACTCCTGCAGAGGGACGTGCTGCTGTGGGTTTTTATCTTGGTAACAGGAACCAACGAAGGGTGGATCAATTATATAAAAAGGCAGATTATTATTGGTGACAATGTGTCTGTTAAACTAAATTATCTAGAATAATCCCCTAAAAAATGTATATACAAAAAAGTATGCAGTTTATGCTATATATTGTCCTACAGTTAATTTATCAAGTGGCGGTTCGCACCTGCAAAATATTAGAAAATGTTTTATATAAATAGCAAAGGTTGTGTTAAGATTTGTTGGAGTAGTAAACAAAGCACCACATTTCAAATATTCATAAAGCAAAAGAAAATCCAACATGGGATCATGTTAGAAATGAGGGGCTTCATTACGATACACATTTGGGGAAAGCAAATAAATAGTATATATTGTTTACTTTGTGTATACTATGGCATACAGTATGTTGGTCAAAACCCCAAACTAAAATTGTATACCATAAAAAAAAGAAGAAAAAAAAGTCATAGAATAGTGTCTATAAAAATGACAAAGCATCGTATGTTCTAACTATGTAAACAACATGTAAATAGTAGTGAATACGATAAGCATGCAAATTGTGTTGGATCACAGGTGATGTTTACAACACAGGCTGTGTGTTAATAAGGTGTTAGTGAAACTGTACCTTGCAGAGCACAGTCGTTGGATCCAAAGAAGACCGTGACAGCAGCTATGTTGTTTTCTTCTGGGTTTGTGCTGCTGAAGAGGCGAGGCAGCAGTATCTTACCCCACCTGGAGTTGTAGCCAGACAGCCCTCTGTTTAAAACATCACACTTCCTGATGGAGAAAAATATATTTCACATTCAGACCAGATCAAAGGTGCTATATTTTGGTTGATAACCTACATTTAATTAAAAAAAATGTGAAATATAAAATAAACATTAAGACGAGCACTTTCATTAAGGTTACAATAAATGAAGAACCAATAAATATAGTAAATACGTACCTCGCTAGCTTGTGGGCAATGTCTGCACCCCAACCATTGGGTTGAAATGAAAGCTGAAAAAAAAAACACAGTAGTTGTATTTGTTCCAAAGTTAAGCTAACAAGCTAGTAGCTAACGTTAACTTTCTAGTAAGTTAGAAAGTTAGCATTAGCTGCTAGCTTGTAAAATACATCAGCCTTTAAAATATGTTTTGCATGAGCTTACCTGTGTGATGGAGTCCCCAAATAAAATCACTTTAGGCCAAATTACTGTTTTGATTTGAGACATATTGAAATGAAACCTGCTGAACTGGCTGCACAAAACCACACTTCCGGGTTAGGAGGGATGTTGAGACGTTTTAACAAACTTCAAAATAAAAAACATATTTACATTTTTTAAAGTTGAATGCATGCAATTTACAAGAAAACGTATAAAATAGAAAAATCAACACAATATAGGAGACAGGATTAATTGCAGGACTGTATATGAATCCATTAGTTTTAGTTATATGAACACATTAATGCTAACATATTTTCATTGCCATATCTACACTGTAGCTACTTTGGATATGACAATAAAGCCTTTGAATCTTCGAAAATTCTAAAAATATATATACATTTATTTCTTATTTTTGTATCGTGTTAATGTTTGTTTGATATTTTAAATTATTTTAAATGTATGTTTCACCACATGGGGGCGCTGCGGGCAGACCCGCCAGCATTGGAATACCGGAAATCATCTTATTACTTTGCCCCCTTCCAACATGGCGGAGGTCAGGCTTCGCTTTAGAAGGGGAGCCTACAACTTTGCACTCAAAACCTATAATCGACAACTGCTTGAAAGTCAGAATAAGCTACGTGAAAGTGCAATAACAGCCCCGTGTGTCTCTGCGGGGTTTGGATGTGGTGCGTTTCAAGATGGAGAACTTTATGGAGCTGACAGAGCGACCGCGGGAGTTTCTCAGGACAGTTACACAAGGGTAACACCACTGTTTGGTAATATTGACAATGAGAATGTCGCTCAATATCTCCTCAATGAAGAGTATTTACTTTATAATACATCTCCAATTCAGAATATAGATCTACATCGAATTTACGCCAAATTACGTTGGACTTCCTGCACGTTTAGACCAGCTGATCTACACCAGAGCCTCGGTTTGTGTGGAGGACATCCTGCACATGTTGTGTTTATCAGAGCTTACAGCGGCAACGGGGCCAGATCCGAGTCTCTTTACAAAACCAAAACAGAATACTATGAAATCATGGAGGTGTCACCCACCGCCAGCCATGCCCAGATAAAAACAGCCTACTACAAGCAGTCCTTTCTGTACCACCCGGACCGAAACGCAGGCAGTGAGCACGCCACCGTCCGCTTCTCGGAGATAAGCGAGGCCTACACGGTGCTGGGAAACAAGGCTCTGAGGAAGAAGTACGACCGGGGTCTGCTGGGTCCGTCAGACCTCTTAACAACCAGACCCTCCGGCAAGGACGCCGGGAGCTCCGAGAAACAGCACGCCGGGAGTAGGCGGTCTGTGGTGGGCCTGCGAGAAACAGCCGTTGACTTCGACAGGTTTATCAAGAGCTACTACAGCGAGCAGCTCCAGAGAGACAAGGACAACACGGCCAGCAGAGAGGAGAGACGTAGGCAGCAGGAGGAGACGTTTCGAGAGAAGAAGATGAACACTGTGAGCGAGGTGGGAATTATGTTGATGCTGATAACAGGCGTGGGTTTACTGGCCAGCGTATACAAGGCGTGATGTTCACTCACATGGAGGATGTTGGACTTCAATCATCACCACTTCTCATACTACAACAAAAAGACTGCTGTTGAAAGCTCTTTGTTTGAACCCTGTTTGACCGCTCTGCTTGAGAAGGAAACTTTTGTGCAGTATGGATAACATAACTTTATTTTTAAGTCAATGTGACACAGTGCAATTATCACACTACGATCACACTGACAGCTACAAAGACCAAACGGTTCAGCACAGTACTGTATACTTTCTGTCTGTGGGAACAGTTTTCACAGTTTTATCATGGTGTAGCCTTTGTCAATACTTGAAGGTTTAGTTCAGTGTTTAACACCAACTGCCATGTAAATCAAAATAACATTATAAATAGTGCATTCAAATCATTAATAAGAATACAAGAGTTTCACAATACTGATGCAGAAACACTTGATCCAGTACTCAAAGATCAGGTATTGAGGTTTTTAGCTCCACTCATGAGTTTTTAATTCCTTACTCTGCCATAAATGGTGTCTTTTAAATATAGTACACAATTCACAGGTTGGTTCAGCACCTGGTAGTGCTACAGTTCATTTTAGGCTTTTATAAAGTCATCTGTCTTGCAGATTTCTTTACTTTTGATTATGGTTTCAAGTATTGCTATTTATGAAATATTTCAAGCAATGTAAGAAAGTAAGGGATGTGTGAATCAAACCATTTAACAGGGGCATAATAGGAACTGTATGTTTATGCTCAATGAAAAGGTGCCTTGAGATGATATTTATTATAAACTGAATGGTTATATTGTACAGATATTTAACTAATAAATGGTTTATGAGCAGTGCCTGTGTTTATAAACTTTGCCTATAAAACCTCTCTCAAAGCAGCTGAAAGGGGATGAAAGCAAACCCATTGCTCAAATATTCAAGACGCAAAGCTTTGTTTACATCTGTTTTAAACATCATGTATTGAACACAAACAGTTAGTGCATTTAGAAATTCACAGTTCACATCACAGTTAAAAGTAGACAAAATTGTCATATCAGTGCACATTACTAACAAACTGGCCAAACACAACTTACAGTGCATCTACAAGAATACTGATAACTTATTAAATATAATCAGTGCTTGCATAACAAAATCAACACTAAAATATATGAAAAAACACAGCTTATGCAATTCCCTTTTTTTACATGGTAGCTCCATGGTCAAGAATAAACTTGTGTATAGATAGATAGATAGATAGATCGTACTTTATTGATCCCAAATTGGGAAATTGTTTTTGTTACAGCAGCATAAAAGGCATTTTACAATAAAACAAAATATACAAGAATAGAAATAAAATAAAATAAAATATAAAATAAAATATAAAATATACATGTCAAAATACAAAATATACATACAGATATTATATATATATATATATATATATATACAAATATACAAATATATATATATTCAAAATATATGGAATTATGGAGTATTAAATATGAAACAGATTATGTGTGAGTAAAATGTACAAGGTGGTTTTATTTCTAGAGAAACTATGGAGCAGAGAGTTCTCTTCCAGCCAGAGGTGATTTGTTGTACAGAGTTATTGCAGTGGGCAGGAATGTTTTCCAGTATCTGTCCTTGAGACAGGGGAGCTGCAGCAGTCTGTAGGAGAAGGAGCTCCGCTGACTGTCCAGCTGCAGGTGGAGAGGATGGGTGGGGTTATCCATGATGGACAACAGCCTGTTCAGTGTCCTCCTCTCCACCACAGCTTCAAAGGGTTCCAGCTTGATGCCGATGACTGACCCAGCTTTCCTGATCAGTTTATTGATCCTGCTGGTGTCACCGGCTCTGATGCTGCCCCCCCAGCAGACCGCAGCAAAGAAGAGTGCACTAGCCACAACAGACTGATAGAAGATCTCCAGCATCTTACTGCATACGTTGAAGGATCTCAGCTTCCTCAGAAAATAGAGTCTGCTCATCCCCTTCTTGTACACAGCGTCAGTGTTGATCCTCCAGTTCAGCCCATTGTCTAAGTGCACTCCCAGGTACTTGTAGACCTCCACAACTGCCACATCCTCTCCCAGAATGCACAGGGGCAGAGGAGGAGATGTCCTCTTCCTCCTGAAATCAATGACCATCTCTCTGGTCTTGGCCACATTCAAAAGCAGATGATTTCTTCCAGTCCACTCAACAAAATCACCCACCAGCGCTCTGTACTCCTCCTCCCGTCCATCCCTTATACACCCTACCACTGCAGAGTCATCCGAAAACTTCTGCAGGTGGCATGACTCTGAGTTGTATAGAAAGTCAGAGGTGTATAAGGTGAACAGGAAAGGAGACAGCACAGTCCCCTGTGGGGCTCCAATACTACCAACCACCACATCAGACAGCACACTGCCCAGCCGGACGTACTGTGGTCTGTCCGTGAGGTAGTTGGTAATCCAGGAGATGGTGGACGAGTTTACCCTCATAGCCTGCAGCTTGTCACTCAGTAGCCGAGGCTGGATCGTGTTGAATGCACTGGAGAAATCAAAAAAGGTGATTCTCACAGTGCAACCCGATCCATTCAGGTATGAGTGAGCACGCTGCAGCAGGTAAATAATGGCATCGTCCACCCCCAGGTGAGGCTGGTAGGCAAATTGCAGAGGGTCAAGGAATGATCTCACCTGCGGTCTGAGATGGGCCAAGACCAGTCTCTCAAGCACCTTCATCACATGAGATGTGAGTGCTACAGGGCGATAGTCATTGAGCCCAGAAGGAGTTGTCTTTTTAGGGACCGGAACAACGCATGATGTCTTCCACAGCACCGGGATGGTCTCCAAGTGCAGGCTCAGGTTGAATAGATACTGGAGAACAGGAGCCAGCTGGCGTGCACAGGTCCTCAGGACCCTGGGGCTGATACCATCAGGGCCAGCAGCCTTGCCTTGGTGGAGTTTTTCCATCAGACTCTGGACCTGTCCTGTGCTCACAGTGAAGCGGGGGGGGGGGCTTGATGGAAGGGGGGGGATAGAGGGGGGGGGGTCTGAGGCAAGATGAGCAGAGGGGGGGGGGGGGGTCAGCGGCAATGTGAGCAGAGGGGGGGGTGCAGAAGCCAGGCTGGGTGGTGGAGGAGAGGTGTGAAGTGTAGGTGGTGAGCAGAGGGGGGATGTTGACGCCAGGCTGAGAGGAGGAGGTGAGGTGAGAAGAGGAAGTGGAGGAGACAGCAGCGGGCGGAGAGCTAAACCTATTGAAGAAGGTGTTCAGCTCGTTGGCCCTCTCCAGGGTGCCCACAGTCAGTCTGTCTCTCCCTTTGAAGCCAGTGATAGCCTTCATCCCAGCCCAGACATCCCTGCTATTGTTCTGCTGGAGCTTAGTCTCCAGCTTCTTCCTGTACGAATCTCTGCCCCTCCTCAAATTGTCTCTCAGTTGATGCTGGACACTCTTCAGCATTGATTTGTCCCCAGACTTATAAGCTTCCTTTTTCTTATTTAAAAGAGTTTTCAGGTCACTAGTAATCCAGGGTTTATTATTGGGGAAACAGTTGACAGTTTTAGCCGGTAATATTGTTTGTTCACAGAAGTTGATGTATTCTGTGATGCAGTCAGTCATATTATTGATGTCCTCTCCATGTGGCACACAAAGCACGTCCCAGTCAGTGGTCTCGAAGCAGTCCTGTAGAGCCTCATTAGCCCCTGGAGTCCATTTCCTCACAGTCCTGGTGGATACAGGCTGCCTCTGCACCAGTGGGACATATTTAGGAGCCAAAAAGACGAGGTTGTGGTCAGATCTGCCCAGGGGGGGGAGGGCAGTGGCACAATATGCATTCTTGGTATTAGCATATAAAAGATCCAGAGTATTATTTCCCCTGGTGGGGCATTTCACATACTGAGTGAATGTAGGCAGAGATTTGTCCAGTTTTGCACGGTTAAAATCCCCAGTTATTGTTATGAATGCATTTGGGTGAAGAGTTTGGAGTTTGGCCACAGAAGAGTGAATGACGTCACCAGCCACCTCCGCGTCCGCGTTCGGTGGAATATAGACAGCAACTACGATGACAGAATAAAGTTCTCTAGGTAGATAAAATGGACGTAATCCCACAGCTAGCAGTTCAATGTCCGGGCTACAGAAACGCTCCTTCACAGTAACATGTCCAGGATTACACCATCGTTCGTTCACATACAGTGCAATCCCTCCTCCTTTCTTTTTACCGCTCAGAATAACGTCCCTGTCCGCCCGAACACTCGTGAAGCCGGGGAGAGCCGTGTTATTATCCGGGATGAGCGAGTGCAACCAAGTCTCGGTAAAACACATGATGCTACACTCACGGTATTCCCACTGCGTCTTCGTCAGCACGCGGAGCTCGTCCATCTTATTCCCCAAAGACCTCACGTTCCCCATTATGATGGCCGGTACACAGGGTTTGTACCTCATCTTCTTCTTCATCCTCAGCTTGGCCCCAGCTCTGCAGCCACGCTTGAGCCTCCGAAGCTCCTCCGGGATGTCATGCCTGGCTCCGGGCAGCAGCACGGGTCGGCACAGCGCAATCAGCTGCTCACGCGTGTAAACAATGCCATCACTCCTCTGAGCATGGCTCTCCGACACAAAAAGTGAAAAAAGTAGCAGAAGAATGACCAGAAAACGTTCGAAGTAAAACGTGGCCATAGTTCGCTGCAAAACAAAATAAATATCCAAAGAAAAAAGTACAACTAAGAGAATAAAAGTAAACAAAAAGACAAAGAACAATAAAACACCGGGAGCTGCATGCAACAGGCAGCCACCAGCACGGCGCCTTACGCAAAGATTTGATAGGCCGATCTAGCCTAGTAAAGTTTAGATTTTTTTGTTAAATGATCTGCAATGTGCCGATTAGTTTGGTGAAATGTAATTGGGATTAAAAGAACTAAAACACTACAGGGTAGGGCTATCACTATGATTCTTCTGAACACATCCAGTTTTTAGCAAACAAATACAAGCTTCTAATCGGCTTTCAATGCTGAACTTGTGGAAGTATCTTGATGTTTACATCCGTGATGACTTAGCTTCAGAAACTCTGTGCCTCAGTAGTTTTAAAGGTGACTGGATTTGAACACGCCTGCAGTCCGTCTCTCCTCAGATGACTGGGTTCAGGGCGTCGTAGAGCCGCTGCACTGACAGCTCCACCATCTCTCTCAGGGAGTCGTCCTCGGTGCTTTCATCCTCGTAGCACACCGACTGATTAGGGGAGAAGAAGTCAGTGAGAGAGATAAAAACGATTGTACAGCACAGACATTGTTTTGGTGCGTCATTCTTAAAGCTTCTCACCCTCGTTTCCAAGCAGATGTGAACCGTCTTCCCATCTACCGTCAACGAGACGTTTTTACCATCACTGAAATCTACACAATCTAATCCAAACATATCCCTTATAAGGAGAGAAGCAATATGTTGTGTTTATACTAAGTTAGCGTATCCAACTTAGGTATTCAATGTAACAATGTCATAAACAAAGTTAGTATGAATTGAGCGGCACTCACTGCAACATGACTCCTAGTCTGTTCTGGAAGACCTCCATGTCCAGTATGGCACTCTGGGTCTCCATCGCTGTTGATCATGAATCATTAAATAATAATTCATACGAATATATTTTAGCCTACCTAAAAATTGCCAGTATTGTAAATTACGCAATATTTACAATATTTTGATCACAATAAAGGGATACAAATATTCAAGATAAAGCATTTTTAGTTGGCTAAAATACTATTAGCTGCTGCCTCTGTCCACAGCAAAACATTGCTTGCTCTCACGTGGTAACACCTGACTGTCGCTCCGAAGAGGGGGCATGCAAACCACCGCTACTGTAGGTCATACGATCACTATATACCTAATACAACCCCAC